AAAACATTATCTTTTATACATTTAACCTGCTTTAAACTCTCAAGATGACAATCATTGTCTTTAAAATAATAATGTTCAAAAGTATATGAAAAGTATATGAAATAGCAGAGAGAATATGAAATAATGGAACGAGAATAAGACTATAGGAGTGAATCAAGAGTCAATTATTAGTGAAAGAAGTTCAAGAATCACGAACCCAACACTTAATAGCAGAGAGAAAATTAAGAAATCACAATCAGAATATGAAAAGTTATTCATTCATTTATTTCTTTACTAATAAATAAGTATTATTAAATATTAAGTATATTGTTATATTATTTGATTTTTACCGATAAAGGACAGAATTTACTTAATTAAATTAAATTGATTACTTTTTGACATAATTAACCTTATTTGGTCTATTTAAGTTGGGGGTAAAATCAAAATTTCTCAAGATTCACACTAAATTCATGAATTTATTGTCAAAAGTCGTCGAATTCTTGAACAAAATACATGATTTTACCTTACACAATTCGTCGAATTGAACTTTAAAAACTAGTGAATTCTTAAATTGAATTTGCGAATTCAAAATTATGAATTCGCGAATTCAAAAACATGAGAGCGTGAATTTTTGACGAATTTGCTTTCAAAACGCCAATTCGCATGTGGAGCGATGGAGAGCCAATGATTTGAGCGAATTATTTGACTTAGGTAAAAACCCTAATTTTCTCAATAATCTATATGTTTGAATAATTTGATTAATAGATAATCAACTTCATGTTTATCATAATTATAAAGTTGAGAGTGCAGATGAGAATATATATATATATATATATATATATATATATATATATATATTTATACACACACATATATATAACAAAAAATAAAAGTAGAGAGAGAAACATAAAATTAGATAGAGAAACGTAAAATTGGAAAGAAAATATATATATCTCCTTGGTGACATAGAGTAGTACTTACTTTTAATCCTGACCTTAGAATCTAATTATTCTGTAATTAATTAATCAGTGTTTTCTTTTTATATTTAAGGCATTTGCTTCTTTTTTTTTATTACCATTATATATTATTAATAGGAAATGACAAAAGTAGACATGTTTTTAATGGAAACAAATTAAAACCAAACTGGTTAGGATTTTCTTTTATACGAATTCCTTCCCATCCGAATTCTTAAATTAAAAATAAAAATTTAATTATTTCCAATTCTTTTGATGATAGGAGGTTAAAACATAGAAGGCAAGCACATCTGAAAAAAAAATAAAAATAATGAAATTTCCAATCCCATTAACTTTTAATTGCCACGACGCATTCCACCTCCATCACCACCTCCACCGCCGCCACCACCACCTACCCCGCCACCTCCACCACCACCGGCGGCGGTGGTAGCGGCGGCAATGGTGGTGGAGGTGGCAGCGGTAGTGGCGGTAGAGGTGGCGGCAATGCTAGGGTAGGTGGTGGAAGTGGTCCATTCCCTTTTTCTTTCATATTATATATTGGGTTATATGATTTGATGATTTTGTTTGTCTTTGAATTCATTTTTATGTAGACACATACAAATAAACATATTTTGAGAGTACAACATTCCTTTGTAATTGGATTATTTAGTAAGTAGTTGTTTGACAGACATAAATTAATTGTAAGGTTGAAAAGAGGACGATTGTGCGTTAATTTTTCAACTAGTATACTTTGAGAATTCCCTGGCTGAACGGATATGAATGAAAGGAATTGGAAATGATTGATTTTTTTAAATTATCGAAAAAAAAATAATTAATTTTTTTTATTTTTAATTGGTATGCTTTGAGAATTCGGATGGGATGGAATTCGTATAAAAGAAAATCCTAACCAATTTGGTTTTAATTTGTTTCTGTTAAAAACATGTCTAGTTTTGTCATTTCCTATTAATAATATATAATGGTAATAAAAAAATAAGCAATTGCCTTAAGGAAACCCTGATTAATTAATTACTGTAAGATTTGATTCTAAGGTCAGGATTAAAAGTGAGTATACTACTCTATGCTCACCAGGAAATAATTGAACGCGACTATATACATATATATATATGATTGGAATCATCTACGCATGCTTTCTTAATTTAACTATAACTTAAATATGTTATAGTTTAACAAAAAGAGAGAGAAAGTGTATTATTTATTAAAATTGAGGACATATCCATCTTTTAAATTAGGGCCACATCTTATTGGAGATACAAATCTAGAATTTTATTAGCATTACTCTAGTCTACTTGTGACCTTGTAGTTGATCCTAGCCGTTAGGATTGTGAAGTAGCGATTGAGAAATAAAAATTTAGTTATGTTAAATTTTTTTTTTCCCCCTTTAGAAATAACACACAAATCCAATCTAATTTGATTCGTGCACATCAGATCAGATTCTTTGACTCACGAAACAGTGGCGAATAAAGAAAATTGAATCTATATAGTTTACTGATCAGATTGGGATAAAAAATTATATATATATATATATATATATATATATATATATTAATAATATGTACATTTTAGTCTTTTATTTATTACATTGTAACTTCTAACCCTAAAGATGGGACCACCCACCTAATTTACTCTTTCTTAATTTTCATTAGTTTATTGAATCATTTCAGTGTATAATGAAATTTGTTTATGTTTATAAAAATCAGACTAAGTTAAAATTAGTTAGTGATCATTTAACTACATGAACTAATGTTAATAAATTAAAATTTTAGTCTGCGAACCATGATTAAAATTAGTAATATTGAGCTATTCGAAAAAGTCTAATCCATGTAATTGATCCAATCTAATCTGATATCTCACAAATTAAATTAGATCGGATTAGGTCTTGCCACGGATTGGTGGCAGATTCAAAAAATTATAACCCGTTATGACCCGAACGGATTAAGTTTGATGCCTAATTCAATTCGATCCAATATATAGGTTTGATGCCTAATCCTATAGACCATAACTCTACTGACTAGGCCATAGGTAATGCCTAATTAAATTAAATATTATTTTAATTAATTATTTAATCTGAATATTGTTCAAAGTTGTCCCATCGAAAAGAATACATACATATGCAAAGTGTTTTTTCTACAATGTTTGCTTTGCATTTAGGTGACTTTGACTTCATATATTTGTCAATTAAACTTCAAAAGTTCTTGTAGTTGTAATTTTTCATATTATATTAGGGCTTCGTATAAACGGTTGACGAGAGGAGGAAATAAAACCCCTCAACTCATCCTTCTTGTATTAGGAAAGGAAATAGCTTTCTGATCGACTCATCCTTCTTGTTTAGGAAATGAAATAGCTTTCTGATTAGAAAAAGAATTCTCGCAATATATATATCAGTAGGTGAGGATACCAAAAATGGCTCGAGCCAGGTACAGTCCACATGAAGAGCAATGGGCCTGATAGTTAACCTAGATCCGAACCAGGCTCTCAACAAAACAGGCCCAAAATTGAAGAAACAACTGAGGATCCACTAAACGGAATTAGACCCGTAGCTCAAGAAGCCCAGGAGGAGGCCCAACACCAATAGTTAGGTGAGAAGCTTCTAAAAAGCAGGCAACAACATTTAAATAGGCTGAAAATAGAGGGAAAAGAAGAGGAAAAAATCCTTGAAGTGCATAGTTACTCTGTCAAAATAGAAAAAGGAATTTCTTGCATTTTCAATGGCGCTGTCTGTAGGAAACGAAGAAGACTGATTTATGATAGGTCAAAAGTGATTCATGAGGAAGAAGCTTGATCTCTGAAAAGTGAATCAGGATCGTGAGTGATTCATTGTTCGTCTTGCTGAATTTTGATTCTGGTTGATTTTGAAGAGATTTGCATTCGATCTACGTAGTTCTGGTTTGTTCATGTTCAATCGATCTATGGGATTGTATTTTGTTTGCTAGAGTTAGATTTGACAGGTCCACGATGGAAGAGATTCAGATCTGGTCTTGTAAGGTTAGAATTCAGCCAATTCAAGTCTAGATCTAGTGTGATTGCATTAGCGAAACTGAAATTTGTCCGGAAAATTGTGGTTAATGACTTTGCTCCAATCAGGAATGATGATCAGAGGTGAGAGCTCAAATCCATTGGATAATGGCCAGCAGTCGAAGCTCGATGAATTGATGAGTGTAATCGAATCACTAAAAAGAGAGAATGCAGAATTGCGAGTTGGAATAGAGCGTCGTGAGGCTCCTGCTCTTCCAAGGCCACCTCCAGTAGGAGAGGGAGTTGTGCCATCCAGTGCTGCTCATCACAATGATCTGGAAGGAAACAATCGTATGGATCTTCATCACGAGGAGATTGTGCCAAACGATTTACCTCCAAATGTCCGTCAGGTGGAGGAGCGAAAAGGATCTATCAACTTAGATCCACATACGGATCATGCGAGAAGAAGCCACCGCTTTTGATCCAACTCAGGGAAGGTTACGATGTGATGAAGCAATGGAGTTTGGCCATCATGGAGCTCCATCGCCGTGGCATAAGGAATTCACAGATGATAGATCATTTGATCCACCCTACCAGCCTTCAATGGCGATGTATGATTACAGGAGTTCAGAAGGAAGATCTGCAGATCCAAGGATTCCACCACGGTTTTCAAGGGAGAATGAAGCACTCCGTTCCTCCGCAAGAACGGCTGCATCACCGTTCAGTAATGAAATCCTGAACGCTCTGAATTCGAGGAAATTTTCCATGCCAGTATTCATTTTGTTCGATGGAACGACCGATCCGATCAATCACATTGACCACATTCAGTTGAAAATGGCTTTGAATACAAACAATGACCCTTTGATGTGCAAATGCTTCCCTACAAGCTTGTCAGGGCCAGCCCTCAACTGGTTCAAGAATCTGACTCAAGGTTCAATCGCTAGCTTCCAAGACTTGTATGATAAGTTTATCAGCCAATACTATGGAAATAAATGCCCGGCTAAAGATGTGTCAAGCCTATTTACAATGAAGCAGCATAAAGATGAATGACTCTAGGCTTTTCTCACCAGGTTTAACCTTATCAAGAGTATGGTTATGGAGTGTCATCCATCAACAGCAGTTCAAGCATTCAAGTTAGCAATGAACCGAGGGACACCAATCCACACAAGTCTGGTGGTGAATACACCAAAGACCATGGATGAGCTGAATGAGAGAGCTGACAGTTTCGTGCGTTTGGAAGAAGAAGAAACAACTAATGCAAGGAAGACATCTATTATCTCCACAGAGGAGAAGTCCAAAGCCAAGATTCGGCAAAAGCAAGCTCCGCAGTGTCAGACCTCCTGGAAGGCAGAGAAAAGGCCCCGAGAGGAGTAGTCGTTTACTCCACTCAAAGTCACTTTGGTAAGGTTGTACCAAAAAAACACAGATAAGTTTCGTCCCCCCTTACCAATTAGACAACCTCTCGAATAGAGAGATCAATCTAAACATTGTGTTTTTCATAGTGATTTTGGTCACTAGACTAATAAATGCAGGAACTTAAGGAGGCAAGTGGAGATGATGATCGCAAGGGGAGAATTTACAAGATATGTTCAAGGGCCAGCGCAAGACCAGAATCGACCAGCTTAGCAAGTTAAGAGAAATCAAAATTCGAATCACCATAACGCTCAGCCCATTCAGATTATAAATGTAATTCATGGCCGACCTGAACAGACAACAGAATCTAAAGAATTGCTCCAAACGCGCCTCCGCCAAGTGCAAATAAAGAGGCGAATAGGCAGTGTCAACACTCTACACCAGCAGAGTGCATTAACGTAGATAAGGTTTGACAAAATAGACCTGTTGTAAGTTCAGATTCCTCATGAAGACCTTTGATTGTTAGTTTGATAGTGGCGGAGTGGTTAGTACGAGGGGTGCTAATTAATCCAGGGAGCAATGCGAATGTCATGCCAAGGGTCACCTTCGATCGGCTAGAAATTAAGCCAAAGGCACTTAAATATACTGGGAATCCATTGTTAGGATTCGATGGAAAGCGAGTCGAACCGATCGGCACAGTAGAATTGCTTGTTCAAGCTGCCGAGAGAGAACTTTTCGAAAGCTTTGTGGTAATGGAGATTTACCCATCTTATAATCTGCCGATGGGGAAAGGATGGATTCATAGAGTCCAGGGAGTCCCATCGACCCTGCACCAAGTGATGAGATGTCTGAGTCCGGATAGAAATAAGGTGATTGATATCTATGGGGACCAGGTTGCAGCAAAGGAATGTTACTCGGTGACTCTGAAAGCCGTAGGGAAGGAAAAAACTCCCATTCGATCTGATAGCCCACAATAGCAACTACAGAAGCCTCCTCCCAGCACGAATGGGGAGGAAGAGCCTCCGGTGTTGACCGAGGAACCTCTAGCTGATGTTCAAATTAATCATTTGAGGCCAGACCGAACCACAAAAATAGGTTCAGGGCTTGGTAAAGAAGAGAAACGCCAGTTGATTGATTTCTTTTCCCAGAACGTGGATGTGTTCGCTTCGAGCCATTCTGACATGCCGGGAATCGACCTCTCAGTCTCTTGTCATTCCCTTCATGTATATCCGAACGTTAAACCTGTACGGCAGAAGCAAAGAAGGTTCGCCCCGGAGCGCAACCAGATCATTGCGGATGAAGTTGATAGATTTTTAGAGGCTGGGTTCATTAGAGAGGTTCAGTACCCGATCTGGCTATCGAACGTGGTTGTAGTGCAAAAGATGAATAGAAAGTGGAAGGTTTGCATTGACTTCACCAATCTGAATAAAGTCTGCCCGAAGGATAGCTTTCCTCTTCCAAAGATTGATCAAATGGTGGATGTTACAACGGGGTATGAACAATTAACCTTTCTAGATGCCTATTCAGGTTACAATCAAATCCCAATGGATCCGAACGATGAGGAAAAGACCTCTTTTGTCACTGAACGAGGGACCTACTATTACAAGAATCAAATGGACAAGACTGTTGAAGCTTACATCGATGACATGGCAGTGAAGAGTAAATAAAAGGACCATTAGTTGCAACATTTGCAAGAGGTGTTCGATGTACTGAAAATGTATGGAATGAGGCTAAACCCAACCAAGTGCTCGTTCGGCGTGGGATCCGGGCAATTCCTTAGCCACGTGGTCAACAACAAAGGGATTGAAATCAGCCCAGCCCAAGTGGAAGCTTTACTAAAAAATGCAGAACTAAGCACTGTCAAGGAAGTCCAATCTCTCACCGGACGCATAGCGGCACTAAGTCGATTAATCTCTAAGTTATCAGACCGATGCAAGCCATTCTTTGATACAATAAGAAGTCACAGAAAACAATCCTGGGGGGATGAGCAGAGGCAAACACTGACAAAGTTGAAAGAGTATATGCGAAACCCACCAGTCTTGACTGCCCCAAAACTAGGTGAGAAGCTTTTCCTGTACCTTAGAGTTTCCAACATTGTAACTAGTGGTGTTCTGATACGATGTGAAGAAGGTAAGCAGTTCCCAGTTTTCTATGTCAGCAAAATGCTAACCGAGCCAGAGAGAAAGTATTTGAAGGTTAAACGAGTAATAAGCATTTTGGTTTTTGTGCTTATTTTTCCTTTGGGGATTTGCCGGCATGGCATTGCTTTATGGAGGTTCTTTTCTAGTGATAAGTAGTGGTCGTTGCGAGGAGTATCGAGAGTAATGCTTATTCTCTTATTATGCTGGTGTTATCTTAAGGATGTTTGAGGAAGAATCCTTTGGTAGTGGCTTGATGGTCCGGTGGGATGATAGGTTTAAGCTGTTGCTTGGAATTAGTGGCAATAAAGGTGTTATGGTGTGATATTTAGTGCTGATGAGTGGAATAGTTTAAGGTATGGTCCAAGGAAGGATTAGGAACTATGAGTTGTTTGTTATGTCTTGTCGGATATATGATAAGATTATGCGCTAGTTGAGGCGATTGTGGAGGGTTTAATCTTTAGAGCTAGTGAGAGCGATGTTACCATATAGGCACTTTTTTTTTTCCCTTTTGACGAGTCAGTAGGTTATTGTGACTGAGGTCATGGGTCTTGTATGCATGGTGTTCGGGGGAGTGTCACCTTGAAGGGTTGAGGTGGAATGGGTTGACTCACTCCCATGAAGGGGGTGGAGTCTTTGGTTTTTGTAGTGCTTGTTCTGGGAGTGGTCTTGACAGGTGATGTGTAAGGCACAAGTTATCGAATAGAGATTGAATGTTTCCAGTGTCTAGTACTAGCGGTGATGGCTAGGGGATGCGCCGTGAACTGGGAGTTCGAGGATGATTAGTGATGTGATGTAAGTCATGCATTTGGATATTTTTATAGGTATTTGATTCAAGCAGTGTCTTGAGGATAAGTGTCAGTGTCGCCTTAGAATTTTGTGATTTGAGAAAGTGAATGTGTGATTCCATTAAGGAATAATAAGAATGATTGACTTTAGTTTTGAGACTTCAGACATGAGATAGCCTTATAAAGTATTTTAATGAGACAAGAATTGGATTGGATGATATCATGGAGTTAATCTCTAGTATAGATTGTTAGGAACGGATTAGAAAGGTTTTAGGCTAGTCGATGATTGTGGTCTTTGATGTCGTATTGCTTTTGGCTCTTTACGAGTTGTATGATTGAGGAATGATTGGGATTTTGAGAATATATATAGGACTGTATAGTTGTTGAGGTTATATAGAGCGATGGATAGACAAGGAATGGTTCTCATGGTTGTCTTGTGGACTGTGTGAAATTGTGTTTGAGGTTTGGAGTTGAGGTTAGGAACAACGTCTGCGTTGAGACCAGATTGATGATAAGAATGGCTTGGCCAACCATTTCTCTTAAATCAGTCCCTCTTTAGCACGATGTCAAGTCAAAGGTCATTAATTGTTTCGATTTGTCAAGAACGGTGAGAGTACAGTATTGCATGATGTGTCAGCGTGATAGTGTGGATTCAGATGGTTTGTCTCGGGTGACGAAGTGTGCTAGGTAAGACCAAGTGTCCGATAAAGGTTGTGGTTCGATTATTTGATCGTTAAAGATCTTGTCTTGAGAATTTGTGTCTTGGGTACAAAATAATACGTTTCATTATTCTGGTGGTTCATGATTATGTAGTTGTTGGGAAATCTATTGATTAGTCATCTTGAAGTTACTTAGTATGATGATTTTCGTATAATGCAGTTACTAGTCGCCGAAGTGATTATGCGATGGTGTAGCTATGCGGTGGATAACGGGTGCTTGGTCTAATAGGGATGTATAGATTTGAGCTTGAGCTTGATTGTGAGATGAACGGGGTTCCTCGTTTGGGGGCTTGTGTGTTCTTTAGGAGATGAGCTGAGATTAGATGTTGTCAGATTCGGTGGTCTGATGAACTTTCTTCTTTCGGGCTCCGAAGCCTTGTGTAGCTGTGTAAAGGGGACCAACGTTGGTTTTAAGTAGAATCCAGCGGGTTTTGTGTATGATGTTATGAGTGATGAGTACCCTTATAAGGTGATGAGCATTGTATAGTTAGTGGCGGTGGTGTGTATTCGCTTATTGGCATTCGTTATCAAAAGCAATAAGGTCTGTGAGTTCTTAGTCTTACAGTTTTGTGAGGTGTTCTCGGAAAGGTGTGTGGCTGTGGGCCTCTCTCTTTAAGGAAGGTAGATTTTGAGGATGAAATCTATTTAAGAATGGTAGATTGTAATGATCTTGATTTTCATCATTTTCCATTTTTTGAAATTTTTCTAATTTTTTAAGGGTATTTTCGTCTTACCTCATTTTGCGTGCCACGTTGGTCCTGAGGGCCGTTTTAATCATTTTGTTGAGCTGAGGGTTTTAAAGGTTCATTTTTAATTATTTTAAGTCAATTAAAGTTAACAAAGTCATTTCTAGAATTTTCTGGGAATCAGGACGACTTCCAAATTCGGAAGCCCCTCTCGGTTGCCTCGTTTTGCCTTAAGGTCATTATGGACTTTTCACTAGCATATATGTGTGTGTGTGTGTGTGTGTGTGTGTGTATCTTCATATTAGAAATATATTTTGTGGGACAAGGTTGGAATTGTAGAGGAAGGGCAAGGACATGATGGTAACTTGACAAAAAGTTAGTAATCATAGGATGGTGACAAGTGGCACAAGAAAGGCCACACATGTATTTGCAAGACCAAGCCTACACCTCATTCTTCTTCATATTTTCGGCCAAGCTCTCTCTCCCTTTAACCTTTCTCATTCTCTTTCTATATCTACACACATTTACATCTTCTATATTTCAAACTCTACTTTGGGAGGTTTAGAGTATGAATTTGGTAAAGCTATAGAAGAGTGAGTTGTTTTACTTGGTGAGAGCTTTCATTTGAGACCATGGTTTCTAGAGTTTGGAATAATTTCAAATTTAGGAGGCCTTAGGGCTTGTTTGGCTTGCTCTATGGAGGTAGGGGTCTCTAATACCCACATTCTTTGATTTTAGTGAATTTTCTCCTTAAAATTTAACTATAGCATGTTTTAATTTCATGAAAATTGTTTATGTTTATATGGGTTTTGTGTATTTAATATGATAATTATATATCATGTGATAATTGAGCATATGTGTATTGCCTATTTGAATTGTATGAAATGACATGCTAAAGTTGAATTAGTATGCCTAATATGCTATGTCCTATGAATTTGAGGTTGATTTTGTGAATGGTTATGTACTAGTTAATTTTTTTTATACAAGCTTGATGTCGTTATGATGTGTAAGATTTTAATATTGACATGGCATGAAAAACATGAATCATTCATGCATTATCATTCGACAAGATATGGGAAAATTGCCTTGGAAAGAAAATGGCTTCGAGGAAAAGTTTTTGATGAAAGGTTTGCAAAAAAACCCGGTCGCTTAGGAGTTGCATAGGGTCCGTGGCGTTAGTGCGACCTAGAGGGATATAGGGAGACTGTCCTAGTGTGGTTGAGTTACTTTGGCCCCAAATGATGCCATGGAGTTGCCATGGGTCAGGGATAGTTAGCCAACCCTTCTCTCGTGCCGCCATGGAGTTGCCATGGGACAGGTTACACTAACAATTTGAAAATGGGGTTTTGGAAATGGGGAGCAAAATTGTATTACATTGCATTCCATAACATGGCATGGTTAATTTATGACTTGGGTTATTGTTGTTGATATTGTGATTATATTTTTCCCGAAAATGGCATGATCCCGATTTTCTTTTTCCTATTCTTTAGTTAGATTCACGGGGTCACAAAAAGTGTGTCTTAGGCACCTCCTATTGAACAGCTGGCTCATCCCTTTATCATTAACATTTTTTAGGTTTTGGAAGGGAAGTAGCGGATGATGTTCCACCTCAGGCTTAGACAGGATTTAGAAGATATATTTTGTCAGCTTTTGTAACCGAGTCCCATTTTATATAACTTTGTATATTCAGTGATTGTAATTGAAACTATGTTATTTTGTAGTAACTTGAATTATTTTGTAAGGATCTTTAAGGCATGTAACGAACTTATGTTTATATATTGAGAATTTGAAATGAAAAATGACTTATAAAATTAAGTATTTCAATGTGATGGGACTCATTTTGACTTAAACTGGTGTATCAAACACATTTTTTGTATAATTCAATATATGTTGTCTATTCATGTTTTACACTATTAGATACATGATTTGGGATAGGTTTGGGCTTGGAATAGTGTAATGACCCAAACCGGGAGTCTGAATCGCTAACCGGATTCTTAACCAAACTCGACGACGCACTAGGGGTAAAATAGTCATTTTACAATTTAAAATGGTAATTTGCTTTTAAAGTAGTCAAATGAAGTTTAAAATAAGCATTCTAGTCATTTCATGATGTTTGATGAGGTTCTACAGTCTTTGGATAAGATTTCCCAAAAGTACCCTTACCAGTTCAAGAGAAATTCTGACACTATTCTACTAAAATAATCAAAACTCTCAACATGAATGGAATTTGAATATGAGGTTGGTCTCATTGGAAATCTAACTCAAAATCCTTGAAAATGGACTCAAGAATGACCCTATTTGGGTTTGGAACGAAAAAGTTATGACCAAACAAAGTCAAGCAGCCGAAGCTGATACACTATCATGGCAAAAACATACACTGGAGGGCTGGAACCGGTTCCCAACCTTGGTACCTATTCCACATGGATAGAATGTCATAATGCGAACCAAAAACACCCTTGAACTAGTTCTAGAATCACGTACTAGTTCCCCAAGTGCAAAACCTAAAAATTTTACCCAGAAAGGCCTAAAACTGAAACACATATATGTGGGCACTCCTTAGGTCCATTAATGACCTTAATTAAATTTAAAACCTGTCCCAAATCATGAATTTATTTAGTGTGTATGACATAATTAAACTACCCTGCCTTCCATTAAATTAAATACGAGTCCAATACATCGTTTAAAAATCGAATTGTACAAATCCTGTTTTTATACAATTTCTAAAGAATTACAACAGAAAATGAGGCCTCCATGGCCAAAACCACATAACTTTAATAAAAATGAGATGAAATCATAACTACATCAATATTCATGGATGTACATCATTCACCGGCTCACCTCCGAATTCCTGAAAAATGTTAATAATAATAGGGTGAGCTTAACAACTCAGTCGAAAAAGTCTAAAGTACATTCCTAAAAATCCCGTGAGCCGCAACCAAAGAAAGGGAAATAAAAAAAAATGGATCATGGGATTATGAGTCATATCAATCATACATGAATTTCACAAATTCACAAACCATACCATTAAACATGAAATTCAAATATTCTCTTCTTCCTTTCCAACCTAACCTCACTAAAACCTTCTTAACCACCACTTTAACTTACAACACCATCCTTCATCCACTTCCTAACCTTTTCTCCCACATCAAACCTTCACCCTCTCATTTCACCCCATGCCAAAAATATGCATATCATACTACCATTTATCAATATACAAGTTATTATTTACATCATGATTATCATATCAAACACCCAAACATAAAAATTAATCACATAATTCATAGTTTCACATTTTCTCATAAAAAATAGCATACTTGGCACAAATACAAGAAACCATCATGTTCTCAATCCACAACAATTAAATCTACACTATCTCATGCTTAACATCACAACCAAAAAGCTACAAGCTAAGCATGCTTCACAATATCAAGATTTTCATGTAAGAAAATACATAGAATCTCACTAAAATCATAGGAATTCGTAATTTAGACTTCCCCTACTCCAAGATAGCAAACCAAACAAGGCCTTAGCAAGCCCTAGCTTTGAAATTCTCCAAACCCTAGCAATATGGGTGCCAAATGGAAGGCCTTTCCAAGCTCTCCAACCTCCCTTCTTTATCTCCTTCAAAGTCCACCTTAAACTCTCCAAATCAAAGCTTTTTCTTTAGAAGACATAAATGTGTGCTTATGTATGAATATAGACAGAGATGGAGAAAGTGATAGAGAGAGAGGGGGTGATGCACGAAAATAGGGAGGAGGAAAGGTGATGGTATGATAAAAATCTCAACTTATGGTCATTGGTTTGTCATGTGTCAACTTTTAGTTGATTTCTAATTTTGTGCAAAGTTACAATCTTGCCCTTTTTCAAACCATACATTGTCTCCTTTCTCCCATAAATATATACCTCTAATATATAGATATAGATGTATACATATATGTGAGAAAAGTCCATTATGCCCCTTTCTTAAAATGACAAAACCGGGAGAAGTTTCTGAGTTCGAAAATCGTCTTGACTTCCCAAAAATTTTAAAAATGATACCGTCACTTCTAATAAACTTAAAATGATCAAAAATACACTTTTAAAACCCTCGGTTCCAAAAACTGACCAAAACACCCCTCGGGGCCCGCATGGCATACAAAACGAGGCAAGAATTAAAATAATCCAGAAAAATAAAATAAATTCCCAAAAAAAAAAAAAATAAGAAAAATCGGTAACATTACAATCTCCCTAACTTTAAAAGATTTCGTCCCCGAAATCAACCCACCTCAGAAGAGAAAGACGAAAAGATACAAAAACGAAGTATGTTTTCGAGTACCCCAGGCAACACGCTATACCTCAGAATCACAACAAGAAGAGTCTCACATCCTGCGTCACTCGCCACCCTGTGCTAATGACCTAGCGCAACAATAACCGAACAGCAACCACAGTCACACGCAACCTTTCCCCCATAATACTAACTGGGCATAAGGGTACACCCTATGTCGAACAAAATTCTCTACCGCCACATGCGAAGCACACGAGGCACAAGCCCCCAACCAACTCCGTGACTCCACTGAGTCCTGACCATTGAAAACCATTAGGATTGCCATCTTTCTAACCAGCACATACCATTAGTTGGTACTAAATCCACAAACAACGGCTTCAGTTAACCCACACGAAGACATGCATCACAAAAAGAATCCTTTGATCTAAGTCGTCACAACACTCAATCATCCACTCCCGCACGTGAGCTCAAGAGAAAACAGTCAACCTGGGTCAAAGCCAATTTGATACATAAAATCGCACTAACACGGTCCACATGAGACATCCCACCAGACATTGTTGGACCCTATTCGAGGTAGGTTCAACTAGCAGTGCTTCACACCATCCGCGCTAAACACCCTAAGGCTAATAAGAACAATGGTTACAAAACTGCTCGACGAACCAGCATGCGAGTTCACTCGCGATCCCAAGGATACTCTTTAAAACCATCTCTGGTGACTCTACCTTTAATAGCTATATCATAGCTGAACACCTACAATTGAAAACGAGAAAACCATCTAACCTGTCAAATGTACCATCAGGTACCCAGAAAACAACCCATCAACATAGTTCAAGGATCAACTGATCCAACAATTGAACTCCTTAGACACGTAGTCCCTTACCGAGTACACCACCATCCACGACAAGTGACCTGAACAAGTACAAAGAATACCATCAATCCCAAGCGAGACTCACTCTAAAATGGGATTATACTACCACACGTACGCAACGCACAACACCGTACTCCGACTGTCACTAAACATACTAAAATCAATTATCATTGACCTTTGACCCAATATTATGTTAAGGAAAGATTGACTCAGAGAAATGGTTGGCCAGGCCATTCTCATCGTCGATCTGACCTCAACACACTACAATTAATTTGGTCTTTGGTGACAAAAGAGTTTGTCGCTAAAAGTCCATATTTTGTCGCGAAAAGATTATCGCGACAAAAAAAATTTTATCGCCAGCTCGTCGCTAGAAGCCGGTCACAATATGTTTTTCGTGACAAATTTTGATTTTTCGCTAGAGGCATGATATATTGTGACAAATTACTTTTCGTCACAAAATGAGTAAAAATTGTGACAAAACATTTGTCGTAAAATATTCAAAAATTGTCGCCTTATAACCTCCAAAACTTATGAAATTTGTCGCTATTCATCACTCTTTTGTGACGAAAAGAATTTTTGTCACTATTTGTGTACTCTTTTATGACAATAATTGTCGCTATAAGCTGCTTTATTGTGACAAAATGTTTGGTCACAATAAAAGTACCATCTTGCGACAAAAATATTGTCGCTATAAGCTACTTTATTGTGACAAAATGTTTTGTCGCAATAAATATACCATGTTGTGACAAAAATCTTGTCATTATAAGCTGCTTTATTGTGACAAAATATTTTGTTGCATTAAATATACCATATTGTAACCAAAATATTATCGTTATAAGCAGCTTTATTGTGACAAAATGTTTTGTCGCAATAAACATACCATGTTGCGACAAAAATATTGTCCCTATAAGTTATTTTATTATGACAAAATCTTTTGTCACAATATATGTTCTATATTGTGACAAAATATTTTGTCACAATAATATCACTATAAACTGTTTTATTGTGACAAAATCTTGTCACAATATATTTACCATGTTATGACAAAATTATTGTCACTATAAGCTATTTTCTTATAACAGAATAACATGTCCTATAACAAATACAATAATATAATTTTGTTTTCACCTATTTGAAACATAAAATTTGGAACCTGTAACTTAAATTAAAATATTAATAGACTAAACAATCTAAACTAAGATCCAAACATCTCACTCAAAATAAATATATTTGATAATCAATCATAGAATATAAAACACATTCCATTAAGAATTTAGAAATTAAAATGTGCAAATCATCCAAAATCTAAAATGATAATTCCAACATATATCAAAATGCTAATATCTGAATCTAATATTACACAATGCTAATCGCATACATATCAAAATGCCAAAAGAATTCTGAATCCATAAGGGGAGCTAGATTGCAATCAATGTGAAACCTGCAAAAAAATTAAAATAAATAAGAATAAGAAAAAGAAAAAATGAGATTAGAATTTGAACATTGAAATAATTTTTTTAAAAACTATTTTAGAAAACTTGATATCATAATGAGAATAAGATTTTCCTTCGAAATTAAGTGACTTGGCTTTTCTTATCATATCAAGCAATTTATAGACAAATGAAGAGTTGAACAACAGGACTTTATAGTGTATATAAGAATATTAATGGACAAGCTAGGGTTAGATTTTTGAATTTGCCAAATCTTTACAAATAAATAAACATCCTGAAAATGACTTGAGTGCATATGACAATTGCAAAAGCCAAGAGAAAAAAATAATGAGAAACTTTAATATACAAGAGTCAATTGGTTACTAAGATAAAAAGAAATGATCGCCATATAAAATCTTATAGTCTGGTATTCTGTAGATTATATTGCCATGACTAATTCTCTTTAAGATCACATTATAAAAACTTCCGCATTCAAAACATTTTTGCAATATTTAGTGGTATGATCTTGGGTTTTGGCTTACAAATGGTCCTTGTACATAAGCCTAAGATTGTTCAAGTAAATTCATGCCTTTTTCTTTTTCTTTTTTCTTTTTTAACTGTTCTGGTTCTTAAAAATTATTCATGATTCATCCAAAATTGATGTTTTAAATAAAAAACCTCACTGGTTATCCCACCCACGACCACCATTGAGTACCAGAAAATGTCCAAGTCCACCACCACAATTACTTAAAGCCTCCTCGCCGGTTATCTAACCCACGTCATTCACGGCCACCGGCAAACCGTGACCTTGGTAATGCGAACAAAATTTCCTCCATTTTCGCAATTTTGTTTTGATTCTCGTTCAATAAACTTATTCCCTAAATCAGGATCTTCCATTTGTGAATTATCTTTTCTAAATTCTTCAATGATATCTTTCTCAGCAGTACCATCATATGCGTTATTCTGATATTTTACACCAACTGCTAACGCTTCTAGTTCTTAACAAATAACCATGTATCTAATGCAATATTCTTAAAAAGAGAGATGGGGTTAAGGACAACACCCAAAAACAAAAATATAAAGAGAAATTAGATAACTACCATTAAATATTTCTTATAATTGTTTTAATTTAAGACCAGTTAGTTATTGTGATATTACAATCAGATGTGCCTTTAAAATATGAGTTCGTCTATTATTCATTGGAGAAAAATTAATGTCCCTTGTAATTACAATTAAAGTGCCTTATTAACAAATAAATATCTGTTGTGATATCTTCCTAAGGGAAGTGCTAGACTAAATCTTAATTTATGTCTCTGGATGCACTAAGGGACATGAACAGAGTACTTAGACAGGCATTGAACTTCCATTTTTTCATATGAATGTTGGATATAATTAAAGTTGAATCTTCAAAATTTAAATTTGATAATTCTTAATAGATAGAGAGAATCATTTCTAGTAGTGATTGTCCTTTAAACTATTTATATCCACTAGCAAAAACCTGTACATTTCCTAAATTTTCTCCTTAAAGAACTTACTAAAGATTCTCCACTTCTATTAAATTAATAAACATGAATCTATCCAATATAACAGATTTGCATCTATGCTTGGTACAATATATCTACATATAATTAGGTTAATTTAATAACAAATCAGTCATTAAAATATAGCTTCAATATTATCCTCACCAAATGTTGCTAAACAGGACACTGTTCAGTTAGCTTTTTCTTTCTTTATTTATTATTTTATGCACAACCAGCTTTTGACACTTCATTATTTATGAATTTTAGTCCTTTTTTTTATCATTTAAAGAAGAACTCCTACTCTTCCAAGACAAGTCAATGCTCAGTGTGATACTTGATAAACAGGAATGTTGAAGTTAATATAGCTAAATAGGGAGGGAAGAATAATTCAACACTTCCAATTAAGGACAACTTTGATGGTTCGATTGAGCAGATTTTTAATGTCTACAGCAACCAAAGATAAATAAGATAGTATATTCAAAATTGTCTTGTGAAATAGATAGAATTGTTTTTCTCAATCCTTTTCACATCAAAGTCTTTGTAATGATCATGTTTTAACAATGTTGTAATCCTGTCCAACCAGGAAAAACTGCATATATTTTAGTAGCCAAGAGCAGTTTCTATAAGTACAATTTTATGGGAACAATGTGAGAAATAAATTTCACCTCTCGAATTCAATTGAACAACCATTTAAGCAAAATAATCATTGAGGTTGGTAATTGTGAAAAAGAAAACAAGACAGAAACAATAGTCACCCTGAATAACAAGAACAGAAAACATCAATTTGTCTGATGCGGAAGAAAATACCTCAAGACGAACAGCTAAACCATCCTAGATTGGCACACATTTTCACATTTCATCAAGTATAAGAACTGTTCTCGGGTTTGGCCATTCTGTGGGACTTTAACATCTTGAATCCTGTAATACAGCAATTTAATTCGTCAGACAAAAACGCAAATGCAAAGGAACATAATCATGTTGGTATGAACAGAGAAATGTATGCAAAGGAACATAATCCTGTATTGTATGTGCCTCACGAATCCATAAATTTATAAGCATTAGACGTGAAATTCGGAAATTTATAGCAGATTTTCTTGAACCCAGCTAAAATAGCAGATTTTTCAATTTTACTAGTTGAGATAAGTTCATACATATAAAATAAAAAATAAAAAATAAATAGAAACAATAAATAGATCAACCAAACCTAATGAATTCAGAAGTTATAATATAAAGAGAGAAATAATACATTTGAATGATGAAAATCGTACACCTATAGGCAAATCTTCAGTAAATTGCAAATCTGAAAAAAAATATTGAAATTAAAAACCCTAAGATTTGTAGATATATTCAGAATTTTATATATATATATATATATATATATATATATATGTGGAGGGAAAAAAACTCCCTCCAATAAGAAGCGCACACGTCACCACTACCCATATCTACATTCCAAGGACATATAAGGCCCATCATGCTCAAGCCCAAATTGAGGGTATTTACAGCCCAAGACCATTGTTAGTTATCCTCCAACTTCCATCAAGGCCGAATCAAGAAGTCATCAGCCCAGCTTGTCGTCAGCCCAACGTATGAGTATTTAACATCCGGCCTGTTACCCAAGCCCAGCCGGATCAAAATATATTCAGCCCAAGAATGCGCAAATCCTACCATTTGAAGGATTTACTGTAGAAGGAAAATTCGGATAGGAAGTTCTGTACAAGGCAATTTCTATGTATGGAAGATTCGACAATGGAAAGAACTCTATTAGAAAAGAATGGTTATATAGAAAGAATTGGAGGGCAAGCAACGCGAGTCCTACCATAATTTTGCAATCTTTTGTATATAAATAGAGGCTAAGACCTCCAATAAAGGATCAAGCAATTCCACACTTCTCTATACATTGTTCTTATTTATTTTTATTGTTTTTGAGTGAGTTGTTTTATTTTTCTCAGTCATTATTGGTTAAGCGAAATTTTGCACCTACACTTTGGCGCCGTCTGTGGGAAGCGTATATAAATATACTCCCACTTGTTCTTCAAATTAAATCTTTTAGTCGTGTCTGGAATGTCAAACGGAGATTTAGTAATGAATCAACAGATAGAACTGATGCAAAAGATGCGAGAAGAGTTCTTGCACCAATTTGAGACACTCCGGCAAGCAAACGATACGAGTGTCGCCCAGATAGCTGCGCTTCAGCAGCAGACTCATACGCTGCACATGGCCATGGCCAGGCTAACACCACAACCACCACCAGGCGATGCTGCGGCACCACCTCCCACCCGGAATTTACCTCCGGTTCACGAGCCTCCAGCCAACGAGACACCACCCAACGGGGCTTGACCTAGTGAGGCACAGCAAAAGCAAGGGACGAGGTCCGAGGCGGTTGCTTCGGATAATCTCCCGCATCGCACACAGGACGAACAGGCCGAGTCCAGCCATAGGCTTACGGTATGGTCCAATGGCGTTCCAGATGGCGCACGTGTACAAGATGCATTCGATGAAAAAAAGCTCTTGAGAGTCCAGACACCAGCCGAGATGGCTAGAGAGCACAAGAACTCCTTGGTCAAGACCCCCTTTACTGACGAGGTGTACCTTGTGGAGAGGCCGAAGAAGTTCACTATGCCATCCTTCACCCAGTTCGATGGGGCAGGCGACCCTTCTCGGCATCTTGATCATTATGCGCAAAAGATGGCATTGGACGATCATAACGATCCGTGGATGTGTAAGGTTTTTCCTACCAGTTTAACCGGAGCAGCGTTAGAATGGTTCAGGAATAGGCCACACAAGTCTATCCCTGACTATGAGACCTTGTGCACTATGTTCTTAGCCCAGTATTACGGAAATAAGAAGCAGAAGAAAAGTATAGCCAGCCTTTTTACCATAAGGCAAAGGAAGGGAGAAACTCTGCAAGATTTTTTATCCAGATTTAACATGGAGGCCTCGGAGATAGCAGATTGCCATCCTGCCACGACAATCGAAACATTTAAGTTGGCAATGATCCAGGGAACCAAGTTTCACACATCCTTGGTCAAATATTCCCCCCCCCCTCCCCCCCGGATATGCAAACTTTGAATGCTAGGGCACAAATCTACATTCGATTGGAGGAAAACATAGCTCACCGTGCGTAGCACGCTACCCTCGCCACAGTGGAAAACAAGTCTCGAGAGAAAGCTGCGAGCACAAGGATGCAAAAGGTTCCTCATACCGCCACACAAGCCACCCAAGCGTCTGAGAAAAGGCGAAGGACAGAGGACAGGCTTACCCCTCTTCGTACTACCTTGGCGCGCCTATTCCAAGAGAATAAGACGAGGTTCGCGACTCCTCAGCCCATGAAACAACCCTTGGAGCAGAGGGACAAAAACAAACATTGTGCCTACCATAGAGATTATGGGCCTACCACCAATGACTGCAGGTCCCTACAGCGACAGGTAGAAAGCATGATAGTAAGAGGAGAATTGGTGGAGTATCTCGCCACGAAGGAGCATGTAAAACCTCAGGAGGTTAACCCTCGACGGGTAGAGGGCAGTCAGGTAAAGGTTATCCATGCTATTCATGGAAGGTCGAAGGATGATGAAGAGTCTGAAGAGTTGTACAGATCCAGGCTGCGAGAGGCTCATAAGTTACGAAGGTTGTCTTCGGTAAACACGGTTGCACCAGGCAGTATCAACATTGGATTCGGTAACAACGATCTTTCTAGAGTCCAACGCCCACATGAGGACCCCTTGGTCATCAGCCTCCTGGTAGCGAATTACATGATCAGGAGAGTGCTGATAGATCTGGGAAGTAGCACCAACATCATTACAAAAACAGCTTTTGATCAGTTGGGGATTTCACTGTCATCCATCAGGCCAACTTCCGGCCCCCTAATGGGATTTGATGGTACTAAGGTGAATCCGCTTGGGGTGATCGATCTCTCCGTTACTGCAGCAAAGAGAACTCTGAAGGAAAACTTCGTCGTGACAGAGATTCATCCATCTTATAACCTCATTATGGGAAGAGGTTGGATCCATCATATGAACGGAGTCCCTTCTACACTTCATCAAGTAATGAGGTGTTTATCCCCGGATGGCAGGGAGGTCATCGACCTCTGGGGAGACCAGGTTGCTGCCAAAGAATGTTACATGCTAACGCTACACGAAGCAAAGAAAGTGTCGAAATCACCTCAGTCAGAGGCGAGTCCCAAAGATGCAATCAAATAGCAGTTACAGTATCCTCTGCCCAAGTATCTCAGGGCAGAGGAAAAATCTGAAGCTGAAGCGCCTACCGAGGAGTCCCTCGAAGCTATAGAGGTAGTCCTCGGAGACCCTCAGAAGATCACCTACATTGGCTCATCTTGCACAGCCGAAGAGAAAGGAGCATTGATCGGGGTTATTCGGTGCAATTCGGATGTCTTTGCCTGGGATCACTCGGATATGGTGGGGATCAATCCTACAGTCTCATGCCATAGTCTGAGGGTTAACCCAGAATTCAGGCCAGTCAAGCAAAGGCACCGACGATTCGCACCTGAACGGAATCGCATAATAGCCGAGGAGGTAAATAAACTGTTACAAGCAGGATTCATTCGAGAGGTGCAATACCCATAATGGCTCTCAAATGTAGTAGTCGTTCAAAAGAAGAATGGGAAATGGAGGGTATGCGTAGATTATACCAACCTTAACAAAGCTTGCCCAAAAGATAGCTTTCCTCTGCCCAAGATTGATCAAATGGTGGATGCCACGACGGGTTATGAAAGGCTCACATTCCTCGACGCATACTCCGGCTATAATCAGATTCCCATGAATCCTGAAGATGAGGAGAAAACTGCTTTCATCACAGAAACGGGCACTTACTGCTACGGAGTGATGCCCTTCGGTCTAAAGAATGCCGGAGCCACCTACCAGCGACTTGTCAATAAAATCTTCAGTAATCTGCTGGGTGATACAGTTGAAGCCTATATCGATGATATGGTGGTTAAAAGTATACGGAAAGAGGACCACCCGAAGCACCTCCAGGAGGTCTTTGATACTCTCAAGAGATACAATATGAAGCTGAACCCCACCAAGTGCTCCTTCGCCGTTTCGTCAGGACAGTTCCTTGGGCACGTCGTAAATAAAAGAGGAATAGAAGTAAGCCCAGCTCAGGCAAAGGCACTCATACAGAACCAGGAGCCGAAAACCCGCAGGGAAGTGCAAGTTCTAACCGGCCGAATTGCGGCTCTCAGCCGGTTCATATCCCGATTATCTGATAAGTATAAACCTTTCTTTGATGCTATTCGATCCAAAAACAAAGATATGTGAGGACCTCAGCAGCAGGAAGCTCTCAATCAATTGAAAAGCTACATGACAAAACCCCCAATCCTTTCTGCTCCAACGCCCGGAGACACTCTCATCCTGTACCTGGCAGTATCGGCTGTAGCAATAAGTGCAGTGTTGATCAAAGAAGAAGACAAGGTTCAGCACCCAATCTTTTACACAAGCAAAATGATGACGGATGCCGAGACATGGTACAGCAAGACAGAAAAGGTAATCCTGGCGTTAATTTATGCCAAGAGGAAACTTCGACATTACTTTGAGTCTCACAGCATAGTGGTACTTACAAGTTTCCCTATACGGGCTATCCTAGCTAAACCAGACCTGTCTGGTCGAATCACAAAATGGGCTATTGAACTTAGCTCTTTTGACATCACCTATGCACCGAAGGTATCTCACAAGGGGCAGTCGGTAGCGGATTTCCTACTAGAGTACGAAGATCAACCTGAGGAACCGACACTTCCAGAGCCATACTGGGAGTTGCGAGTTGATGGCTCGTCCAACCGGAAAAGGGCAGGGGCCGGTATTGACATCACAACACCCGAGGGTACCAAGCTGCAGTAGTCAATTTTGCTAGATTTCCCATCTACTAATAACGAGGCCGAGTATGAGGCAATGCTCGCCGGACTT